GCATACTGTAGCAGAATAAAAGCCATTAGGTCAAAGGAACAGGATTATTGCAAGGCACAGATCTGGGAAAGGCTACAATAAAATTTCTGCTGCACTGAAGGTTCCTAAGAACACAGTGGCCTCCATAATTCTCAAATGGAAGACGTTTGGCACAACCAGGACTCTTCCAAGAGCTGGTCGCCCAGCCAAACAGAGCAATCGGGGGAGAAGGGCCTTAGTAAGAGAGGTGTCCAAGAACCCGATGGTCACTCTGACTGAGCTCCAGAGATCCTGTGAGGAGATGGGACAGAGTTCCAGAAGGACAACCATCACTGCAGCCCTTCACCAATCTGGGCTTTATGGCACAGTGCAAAACACATGAAAGCCCATTTGGAATTTGCAAAAAAAAAAAACAACCCCTGAAGGTCTCTCAGACTGTGAGGAACAAGATTCTCTGGTCTGAAGAAACCAAGATTGAACTGTTTGGCCTCAATTCTAAACATTATGTCTGAAGGAAACTAGGCACTGCTGACCAATATCATCCCAACAGTGAAACGTGGTGGCAGCATCATACTGTGGGGTTGTTTTTCAGCAGCAGAGGCTGGTCAAGGTTGAGGGAAAGTTGAATGGAGCAAACTACAGGGATATCCTCAATGAAAACCTGTTCCACAGCGTTCAGGACATCAGACTGGGCTGAAGGTTCACTTTCCAACATGACAACGATCATGGCACACAGCCAAGACAACACAGGAGTGGCTTAGGGACAACTCTGTGAATGTCCTAGAGTGGCCCAGCCAGAGCCCTGACTTAACCCCATTAAACACCTCTGGAGGGACCTGAAAATGGCTGACTACCGACTGTTACCATCCAACCTGACAGAGCTTGAGAGCAAGGAAGAATGACAGGTGTGCAAAGCTTGTCGCATCATACCCAAAAAAGACTCGAGGCTGTAATTGCTGCTAAAGATGCTTCAATAAAATACTGAGTGAAGGGTCTGAATACTTATGCCAACGTGATATTTGAGTTTTTTCTTTTTAATAAATTTCAGACATTTCTAAAATTCTGTTTTCACTTTGTCATTACAGTGTAGATTAATGAGGGAAAAAATGATTTTCAACAACTGTAGAATCAGGCTGCAGCATGACGAAAGTGACAAAAATGAAGGGTGTCTGAATACTTTCTGAATGCACTATATGGCAATCTTTCTCCAGAAACAGGGCAATAAATATAATTCTCCCACAATTTATGTTTACTACAGCCAAATTAAGATGGTTCCGTCCCAGGCGCCTGATGGACCCAGAGGGGTTTCTGACGGAGCTTGGGCCATATCCTGTGGAGCTAGGTCACGACTCGGCGGAACATCAGGCTGCGGCCTGGGATGTGGCCGCAGCCGCAGCACTGGACCGAGTCGTGCCGCTGCGGCCTCTGACCCGGCGTAGGTCTCAACTGGCCCCTTGGTTTACCG